AGCTGTCATGAAATTTCAACCATGTGATTTGAGTTACTGAAACCATAGAAAATGGACATTGGGAGATATATGAGACTTATGGGCTGCATATCCTTGCCTACCCTTTGGTTTAAGCATGGTTTGTTAAATAAACACTAATAATTTGGCTTTCCAAAATCTTCTAGGGTGGCTAAAAATGCATGAACCATCCAATAAATAGATAGTAATATAATCACTACTTTTCTGCTTGTTTTCTTTTATACCTGTTCTTTTTAGTAGCATAGCTATACTATTCAAATAACTTAATCACTGTTTGGTGTATATTGTTTAGTAAAAGAGAAAATGATTCACTTTGGAAAGTGAATTTTAAAATTTAAATTATTCAAGCTTTTATTTCTACAATACTGATGTTAATCAACTATCTAATTCTGCCGCATATATTAGAAGTAGCTTATAAAGGCCACAGTTTCTCACTTTTGGTTGTCCAATCTCTTCTTTAAAAGTTCCAGTGATGGAGCACCTATAAGGTGACCAACTTTTTTACAATGAAAAGGAGGACACAAATAAATTGAAGAAAAAAATATCATAAATAAAAGAAACATTTTATTCATTGCAACAATAATACAGACAACTTACATGTGCAAAGTTTGCCAGCCGGGTGTTTTGGCGCGCTCAGCAGCAATTCCTATTGGCTTTCAAAAGCCAATAGCGGGAGTAGCACAGCTCTGGCAAAAGTTGAAAAAACACCATCAAAAAAAGGTGCTAGCATGCCGTTCTGAGCGTTCTATGAGGAAAAAAAAGCCCTGCAGATTAGTCTTCAAATATCGAAAAGGAGGACATATAGGAGGACACTTTTTGAGGGAGGACAGAACTTATAAAAGGAGGACTGTCCTCCCTAAAGGAGGACAGTTGGTCACCTTAAGCACCCAGAAACCAGCTGTATGTCTTCTCCTCCTCCTCTTCCTCCTCCCATTAGTTCTGGTGTCTGTAACTAATATTATGTAATTCTTTCAGCAACAATACTGATTTAATTTTAAATTTTCCCAATAGGATTGATCAGATTCCCCACAAACATAGCCATAAGAAGTCAATGATCTCTTGTTGCTTGATCTTGCATAACTACTGTCAGAGAATCATGATATGCAAACTTTTTACATTTGGAAATGCTGATAATGCTATCTATGATATCCAGATACTACAAGATCAAGTGCAAATGATGAACTGAATGAATAAGTATATAAATAATTGTCTTGGAATACAATTGTTTCTTCCAGGAAGAAATTCTTTTCTTTATAGTTTGAACCAAGCTCTATATTCTGTTTTGGTATCACTTTTTGAAAGAGCTGTCAACGTGGGGACATAATGCATTGCACCTATCATTGAAGCTGTCACTGAAAAGTTTTCATTTTTGTTGTCATTAAACAATTACTTGGTGATATATAGCTCTGCAAAATCTTAGAGTCCAGTTAAAAGTCCAGTTAATCAAAAGTCCAGTTAATCTTGTAAATCTAGTAATTTATCAAAAGCAGAATGAAAATGTACTATATGCAACTGATTCAAATCATGTACTCTCGGGTTGATTATTTCAGGTTCATGAACTCAAGTAGTTTTTAAACACTTAAAATGTGTTTTGAACAGACTAACCAGCAGAGGGCACTGTTCAGCATTCTCTCTAGTCCCATGATGGTCTGTTTGGATAGATCCTTTGATCAGGCTGGAACAAATGATTATCAGGTGATATATAATGTCACTTGATGTATGAGGTCCATTTTTTGTCAAGCGAAGCATTAATCTGATCAAACAGAGCATCTGGATTGTTGTAAATCAATGGAAACATTCAAATCATATTATTTAAATCCACTATGAAAGATAATTGGGTCAGGAGAGGGAACAACCAGGGTGCCATACATAATTGCTCATACTTCTTTTGGAGATGAAGGGATACAACTCTATGCAAATATTAAAACCAATAACAAATACCATAATAAAAGAGTTGTGTGTTCACTGGTATTCTTGTGATTATTTTCATATGTGTCTTTCAAAGGTCCTTCATACAGGTTTGGAATCTCAGGAAACCAAATGCAGATGGTGTACACCAAGTCCCAGAGAAGGGTTATTACTTTGGAGAGGTGAAAGGACTATTTTTTTCTGGAAAAGCTGATCAAATATCTAAAGCCTTAAGAATCTGGGAGGCCCTTATTGGAGAGAGGGTGGCCAGTACTGTACATAGAAGAGACAAAATACATTTTCAGGTTAAAGCTAGCCAAGATAACAAGCCTTTAAATGCAGAGGCTAGAAACATAAAGCTTGTAACAGAAAATGAAGAAGTTTTTGAAACTCAGGACCATGTCAAGCTGTGCTAGTTTTCTTCTTCCTATAGCTTCATTTTATCCCATGAGTGAGTTGTCTCCTTTTTTTTTTTTAGTGTTATCCAAATGAGTGAACTAAAGGGAACGGGTCCTAATCCATTCCAATTGCTCTCCTCTCCATCTCTTTTTTCAAGTATTTGGGGACAAGTGGGAAATGTAAATTGTTTCAGATTACTTTGGAGCTTTTAAAATTGTTCTTTCATCTATATGCTAGCCTGGGACTCAAGATTTGGCAGTGAAGAATGGGGAAGGGGGAGGTCCCTCAGCAAGATTCCTAGGTTTGTAAGAAATTCTGGGGGAAATAATTTAGTCTAAAAGATAAGCTCTGTGGTAGAAGGAAAAGTAAATGGGTTTTAAATGCAAGGAAGTGGTGGCGTAACAGATGGACAGGATCTGAGTTTCAGTGTGATGGAATTGAAGAACATGAAGAAGAATGGAAGAAGACAGTGATTTCTAGCCAGAGGCTGTCAAAATTCTGTCCCATTGCTTTCTGTGTTTTTCTTACTAGGTCCTGGAAATAGTGTATTAATTCAGCCACCACTGAAGTCAATTTGTTCATACATGGCAAGATGTGAAGACTGATTAAATAATGGTCTTCCATTGTAACTGGGTTGATGAATATCTAGCAGTACATGAAAAGTTTTCTTTTTTTCTCCAAATCTAAAAGAAGACTAATTGAAGTCTCTCGAAATGTATTACTTACACCATGTTTTTTGATTCAGCCGTATGAAACATGATAAACAAGATAAAATGTGAAAAAATACTTTCCATCATTAAAGTTCCTACTGGAGGCTTAATGGTTGGCTTTTCACGTACTTGTTTGTCAAATGTCAAACTTAGGCATGAAGAGCCAGGGTACTCAAGGCCAATTCCTGTTGAAATAGGGAATACAAAGTAATTACATAGATTGGTTTGTTTATTTTATTTTTTTTAGTATCTAAAATTTCTATTATGGAGTCGCCAGCTTAGTTTAGTGGTTTGTGTTCCCATCTGCTTTCACATTATTTTTATTATACTTGATGGGTATCCGTCTCTCACATCCACCTACAATTTTTTTAAAAAACGAATGGGAATAATATGTTGAGGAAAAGATGGTTTAAGTTATGGGATGGGTGTTATGGAAACACTGTGGAACTGCTACTGGCTTCTCTCACTGAGTTCTAACTCCTTCTCTCATAGACTACTAAAAAAAAAAAATCTGTGATTTTAAAAAGCAACTAGTTAAAATTAAGTAAAATGCCCTAGAATACAAAGTCTTCACATTCTGTGTTTGATCATAGTCATGCATGATATATTCTGCCAATTAGGATAGAAATCGTGCAGATATTATCTTGTATATTAAGACCAGAATCCTAGAATAAACATCAATGAATCTAATTGGACTTATATCTGGGAAAATACCCAAGGGTTGACCTTTTTTTCTTCTTTCTCATTATGTGAACATTAGAAATATTATTACATAAGAGGATTTATATGATTTTGGAGTATTAAAGTGTTAAAAGTTTATATGGACACAGTATTTGTTAGCAAAGGCTACTTATACCATATTACACAGATACTTTATTTGAAAAATATGCAGGGAAAAAATTCCCCCAAGATTCTTAAAAATGCAAATAATGTTGCTGTCTGCAAATAAAATAATACTTATATACATTGGCTGATATAACTTTATTTCTAAGTTAACATCTTCAGAAATATAAAGGTAAAAGCAAGAAATGTATGTGGCTTGTGATTAGCTGCAAAAGATATGTAATAGAAACTAGCAGGCTCAATGGAGAGTGGGTTTTACTCAGGTGGTTTTAGAATAGAATAGAATAGAATAGAATAGAATAGAATAGAATAGAATAGAGCTGGAAGGGACCTTGGAGGTCTTCTAGTCCAGCCCCCTGCTCAAACAGGAGAACCTATACCATCTCGGACAAGTGATTGTCCAGTCTCTTCTTAAAAACCTCCAGTGATGAAGCACCCACAATTTCTGGAGGCAAGCTGTTCCACTGGTTGATTGTCTTCACTGTCAGGAAGTTTCTCCTTAATTCCAGGCTGTTTCTCTCTTTGATCAGTTTCCAACCATTGTTTCTTGTCCTGCCCTCTGGTGCTTTGGAGAATAGTTTGACCCCCTCTTCTTTGTGGCATCCCCTCAAATACTGGTAATGTTCAGTATTTTCAGCTCTTTCTCCTTGAGGTTTCTTCTTCACATATTTGAAATGTGGTAGTTTTAAACTTTGTTCTGAAAAGCTAACATAAGGCTATTATTTGAAGGTCCGTATGCATGCATGCGCATGTTTTCCAGATTCTCCCACTAACAAGAAAAGTCTAACCATCCCCATGAAAAGGCAGAAAAGCACAATCTCTCTCATCTTCTGCCTTAAACATCTTAATGGTAGAATGGACAATAGGGGATTCATGATCAGATTTTAATTCTTGTCTTATTTCAGCTCTGCATCTTTAACAAAAAAAGTTGCAAAAAGAAACATTCAAGTAATCTTCCTGTAAGTTGCAAAGTTATTCAAGTATCTTCAGTCCTGCCTCACATTTCCTGTGCAGAATGGGTATTTGCTGTGTGGTACTCCTATGATATTTTTTAAATGATTGAACTGCCTGGTAGATACACGTGTCAACTGTGTATTTTTTTGTCTTTGTTTTCTTTTGCAGTGACTTAGACAGAAACAATATTACAAGGATTACAAAGGTGGACTTTGCTGGACTTAAGAACCTTCGTGTTCTGTGAGTATGAAGAGAAATAACCCCCTGAAGCAATTCCTCTGTGCTGTCACTTTGCAAAACTTTGATCTGTTTGCCTTCAGCACATAGCCAACTATGCTGCAAGTCTTGAATTATACCTATCTCTTCCTAGTGCAGGGCTAGGCAACCTTGGCTCTTTTATGACTCAGGAATTCTGGGAGTTGAAGTCCACGAGTCATAAAAGAGCCAAGGTTGCCTACCCCTGTCCTAGTGCATACAGACACTAGCCTTAATTTCACCTGGTTTTGATAAATACTTCTTGAGTTTTCCATATTTACAGGTAGTCCTCGGCTTACAATAGCGCCTTTAGTGACCATTCAAAATTACAACAGCATTGAAAAAAGGGACTTAAGAACATTTTCCACACTTGCAACCATTTGCAGTGTCCCTATGGTCACGTGATCAAAATTTGAACGCTTGGCAACTGGCATGTATTTATGACAGTGTCCTGCCCCTTTTGCGACCTTCTGACAAGCAAAGTCAATGGGGATGCCAGACTCATTTAGCAACCATGTTACTAACTTAAACAACTGCAGTGACTCACTGAACAACTGTGGCAAGAAAGGTTGTAAAATGGGACAAAATTCACCTAACAACTGTCTCACTCAGCAACAGAAACTTTTGGGCTGAATGGGCGTTGTAAGCCAAGGACTACCAATATTTAGCATATGGAATAGAGTGCATTGATAACAGTAGTAAAATATATATAAAAGGAACACATGATACCATGGTATAGGTATGATGGAAATATATAGTCCATTTCGTAAGGTATGACAAATTCAAGATGTTATAAGTTATAGGTTACATTTTGAAATATGTTGGTTTATGAGAATGGAATAAGTATTCTATATATTAATATCTAGTTCAGTGACGGCGAACCTTTTAGAGACCGCCCAAACTGCAACCAAAACCCACTTATTTATCACCAGGTGCCAGGTGGGCGTGGCCCACTAGGTAGGAGTGGCTGTTGTCATGGCAGACTGGGTGGGTGTGGCCAAGGTGGGCATGGTCATCTCGATGTTACTCATGGGGAGGGATGCCTGTGGGGTCTGGGCAGGATTGGGGGAGATCTGAGAGGTCTCTGGCAGATGGGGCGGTGGGCAGAAGGCTCGTCCTATGGGGTGAGGTGAGGTAAGGTGAGGCAGGGTGGGGGTGCCATTGTTGCAGGGCAAGGCAAGGCCGGGACGGCTGCTGCCTGACACCATCGGCCCCCGCACACAGAGGCCAGCGAGCGCATGGGGGCCGACAGTGTCCGTCAGCAGCTACAGCCTGCCGGCCCCTCGACCGGTGCACTCTGGGGCTCCGCAGCCCATCGCCAGCAGTTCAGAGAAGCCGCCTCTGAGCTGGATGGATAGCCAACAGCTGAGGAGGCAATGCAGTGGGTTGTTCCCGGGAAAAGGAGAGCATGCGAGGCCAGGAGGGATGGGACAGAGGGGAGGGAAATCAGCCGTGCTGGGATGCATCCGGCCACATGGGACCTCAGTGAGTTAGTGGACGCCTGGTTGAAGAGGGACAGTTGCCATTTCTGGGGCATGGTGTGCGTGCCCACAGAGTGCCAACTCTGGCACGCGTGCCATAGGTTTGCCACCACTGATCTAGGCCATTTATCCAAACAAGTGTAGTCTTTGTTAGTTGGAGAAAATCTGCTTTTCCTATTGTATAACTTTTCAAAGGTAGCTGGTGATTATATGATCCAGTGTCTGATGAGGAGCACCACAGACACATTCAAGGGAGGATACTCTGGCCTATTTAAACAGAGAGTTTTGACAGATGCCATGCAAGGTGCAAATCCTATTCAGAGTTTTTCGACACTGGTGGGTGGTATCAAACCTGCTAATCTTTGTGTCAGGTCAGATATATTGCCATAATGTTGCCTGGATATGTTGAGAGAAAGAGATTAATTTTATCCCAATACCATTGTCTATGAATGGTGTAGTGCATAGGTGTAATGCAGGGGTCTTCAAACTTGGCGCTTTTATGACTTGTGGACTTCAACTCCCAGAATTCCCCAGCCAGCATGCCTGGCTGAGGAATTCTGGGAGTTGAAGTCCACAAGTCTTAAAAGGGCCAAGTTTGAAGACCCCTAGTGTACTAGAAGGTGTAGAGGGCCTTAAGGAAGGAGGGGAAGAGATGTTGCCTAGGAAACAATCAGACAAGAGAGGGAGGAGCTCCCTGTGGTCAGATTAAAAAAAACTTAGGAAGGGCCCAAGTAATTAAAAATGGCAATGGGAAGTTTGTACTTTCAGCTTTGCAAGATTCTGTTAAGGTAGCCTTACAATAAAGAGGAATTAGTTCATCCAGTTGTGTTTTCTGGGAGGGCTGACATCAATCTTTCAAGTCTAAAATTACAAACTTCCGGCCATCACTTTTAACATTACAATAAGTGACAATTCATAACAAGACTTTGTGGAAAGGAAAAGCATCTGCTGTGAATATACAAAAGTAACATCAAGGGAGGAGTAACTGTATATTAGTGGTTTGGCACAATGATGAAGGATTATTTAGTCATTAAATGTTTATGTCTCCCATCTCACCGATACAGCAGCTCTGGGTGGCTTCACTAGGTTCACTAAGGAAATGTAGAAACAATTTTACCCAGTGTAAGTTTATTTCATGTAAGCTTAACTGGATCAGTAGATTGACTTGGACATCAAAGAAATATGCTTAAAATCTCAGATTAGGCATAGATGGCAGCGTAGAGACTGGAACTTGGTAAGGTTCTAGGACCATTATGGAAATGTATTTCAGATGTCCTAGACCACCAAGCGAACCACCAAATTATTGGTTAACTCAGAAAAGCAGAAAAAGCAATTAAAGAATATGAATATTGGAACACTGATATCTAAAAGCTTAGAATGTTTGTGTTACAGTAAGCAATCAACTGTTGTGTTACGGCTTCATTCTGTCAGCATTAAAGATTATAATCTAGCTGAGGCATGTCTGGGAATCTTCTGCCAAGTCTATTTAAGAATAGAATTAAGGGTTAAGTGTCTGGAAATTCAGGTGTAAAGCCAGACAGGCAATAAGGAATAATATGTATGCATGAAAAAGCTATCATCACATATACATAGTTTGGGAGCATATATATGTATATCGGTTTACCTAAGGAGGTATACATAATATTAAATCTCCCTATTCAGTACTTCTCTCCAAAAAGCTACTTGTAAAAATAAAATTAATTTATTAGAATTGATTTATATAATGATTTATTAAAATAAGTTTGTTTATACAGATAAAAATAGAAATAAAATCTAATTAAAGGATTCTTCAAGACACTTTGCTGCTGGTGTTAATTTTTCAGACATTGTTATTGTCCACATTTTTAAAAGCTATTGATCCAAGGAAAGCTATATTTTAGTTTTCCACTATTTGGTTATACCGTAGTACATCGGGCAACTAACAAGAGAAATGAAACGAATGTCTTATGTGCATGATTTTATATGTTCTGGAAAAATTGAATAAGGCTACACCACAATTAATTTTCAAAATGCTATGTAGCCTTCCCAGTTTCCTGAAACACTTTTCAGTCAAAATGAGTAATTAAATGTACATTGCCACCAGAGATGGTAATTTGTAACAGTTTTATTACCACGTGTCCAACAGTCTAGAAAGACATTAATTCATGTAATGGCATCTGAAAGGGGGTTCTCTGTGAATTATTTTTACAGTCATTGATGAATTGTCTCAATATATTTAAAAGGAATTTTATATTTTATGTCAAAAATATATATTTTGATATAAAATATAAAATTCCTTTTAAATGTATACACTGCATTTGTAATATATATTATATATACTATATATATATATATATATATATATACACACACACACACACACACACACATACACACACACACACACGTATATTATATATACTTACTATATATAGACAGGGAAGGTATTTTGCAAATCCCATCTGTTGAAGAATTTTGATTGGAAGAGTCAACGAAGAGAGAACTCTCTGCTGTTATCCCCCCCCCATCCTAGGGGACATTCTCCCTCCAGGGAAAGACAGGACCCACTGTCTGGCCTTTCATAAATGCTTGAAGACCTGTCTCTGCCGATTTGGTTGGGACCCACAGAAAAGCAGGCAGCCCTGAAGCCTTTCCCACAACTTTTTAATTTTAATTATTTTATTCTTGTTTTTAACTCTTTTTTAAATAATATTTATCTAGAGTTTTTTAATGACTATTTGTACATACCCCCGAGTCCCTCTATAAGGGAGATGGACTGTTTCTAAATATGATGTACTATATAAATAAAATGTAATAATGTTTTTATTAAGATAGTTTCCATATTCTGAATAAAGTGTTTGAAGTCCTATTCAATTGCTTTAAAGTTGCGTATTCAGATAAATTATTATGTAGATTGCAAAAATCTGGATGATTGCTAAAACAGGTGGCTTTCTGAATTTTTGGAGTCCACATATGGATGTCCAAGCTAAATAAGTATTGTTGAGCAGTAGAACCCTATTTATGTTATTCATAAGTAAATTTCAGTTTGAATGGCAAAGTTACTTCCAAATAAGGTGTTATAAGGTTTATGAACCTTCAGTCTAATTATGTCATACAGTATTATGAGAGAAAGACTAGTGAGTTACTACATATAGAAGAAAAACTAAATCCTGAAAAGACATTCTAGAGCGGAGATGATAGATTGGCTTTTAGGAAGGGAGAACATTTTTTATATACAATTCCAAATGTTGGTTATTCTTTTAATGCTACTGAAATTCTCTCTTATAGGCATTTGGAAGAGAATCTAATTAGCATGATAGAACGTGGAGCATTTCAAGATCTAAAGCAACTAGAACGACTGTAAGTGTTATCTTTAATTAAACCAATTCTTTAATTAAGAGGTGATAACATTATGCAGGTGTATTTGAAATGGGCCTGGGTGAAAAAAAGGAACTTGGGCAAGATTTACATTAGGCTGGTTAGAATTATATGGAAAGGTGTGCCCTGTGTTCTGTTAATAGCATAGCTATTCAGCGTTTGCTTATCTTCTTATGAGAATATATAGTACTTTAAAGGCACCAGAGGATGGGCCTTAGCCCTAATCTAAAATTTGATGAAGACGTAGGAATAGAAGAGGATGAAAGAAGTGGCAGAAGTAAACAGGGTTATATGTGGCGTATAGTTACTAGCTAAATTTCAATAAGACACAGAAACTATAGCAGTCTAAAAACTATGAATTTTTTAAAAAGAGTCACAAGGAAATATTTCATCACATTAAGAGAAGCAGCCTTGAATTCTGAGACACACTATTAAACTGCCTTCTGAACTGGAGGTAAATGTGAATTTAAATTGAAGATGATAAGTAAGGATGTACTAGACAGAATTTTAGAGATGAAGGAAAACAGCTATAAAAAGTCAAGATATGTGACTTTTATACTGAATTTGTGAAGTATTAGGAGCAAGCTCATAGTAGAGTAGATGCTGGATTGGCATAATGAGACACTCAAAGAGGAGATGACTGCAATAATTTAGGTGGCGATGGAAAGGGATGGGACAGAATTTTGCTCATAGGATAGAGAATAGAGACTCTGCATTATGGTAAAAATAAAAGCAACTCAACTTGAGCAACACTTAAATATGAGGAAGTTTATACTTACCTCTTGATGTTGAAATGCTTGCAGTGATTCATAAGATCTCTCCATCACTAAAGCTTATTTTCACAACCAGTTGCATCTTGACTCCTGTGGTTTTTTGCCAGTAAATGCTGAATTTGCCTATCGTGTCAAAAACAACCCAACTTACCTGAGGGAGACTGCTCTATCTACTATTGGATTGCCCTTAAGTACCAATGTGCAGTTGTAGCCAAAAGCCAAAAGCTTCAGCCTGGCCTGTGGCAAATATGAGCTTAATTCCATTTGGCAAAATTGAGTCTCAAAGACTTGCTTAAATCAGCATTAAGAAGAAATATACAATCATTGCAAGCTTTATGTCTTGTGGAAAATTTGATATAATATGTCATAAGAGGAATGGCAATTACTTAGGTTAATACATTTTTATATTGAAAAAGTGAAAGTTAGGATACAGTTTTAAGCTAGATTTTATTTGCACAATTTCCTTTTTTATTCCTGTTGTAAATATATAATTATATTTTGATTTGATACATTAGATGAAAAAAATATATTGTGAGATCAGTTTAATAAAGTTTTTGTTATGATTGCTAGACTTTCTCCAGCCAAATAGTTATTAATATTGCAATAAAATATAATGGGAAATAATACTTGCTTCACTTGTGGTTATTTAAAAAGCATAAACCTTAAAATACTGAATGAATGTAGTTTTAATGGAATTTTACTTGCCAATACTTCAAAGTGAAGCTAAAACTATAAACTAAAAAAATATGGACATATTTTAAAAAAATGTGTGACTTGTCTTGGTTCCTGCATGTAAATTTTTAATATATGAAAAGGCCTATAGATTATGTTCAGGCCAAAAGCCTGCTTGTAGACTTATGTATCCTAAAAACTATAACTTAAATTAAGCAACTGGATGCATGTAAGTTTCAAAACATACTGCAGTGATTTAATAGACAGAAAAATGCTTTTATTACTATGCGTGAATAAAATGCAGTCTTGGAAATGGTTCCATCACAGAAAACTGATATTCAGTAAAGGTGCTATTGGTTCTGCTAGAATGAATGTGTGTCTACTATATGTGGTTAAATGATGTATCTCTATATTAGTAAAGGTATGAATACTTCAGTACTCTTATTAAATATGTCCTTATTAGAATAGCTAGGTTAAGACAAATGTCCATATGACAAGCTTACGCATTATACTAAATTATAATTTATTTAGCAATGGCTTATTGAATAAATCATAATTGATTGCATTCAGGCAGCACCCTGAGACACTGTGGGGTTTCCTTGGTTTTGTTTAAGCTGTTATATAACCTTGGAATATAGATTTGCAGTGCATGTATTATATATGCACATATTATAGGTTTATATGGTTAATTAGATTTTTTATTTTTTTATTTTTTCCTTCAATTTTGTGAAAACATTATACCAAGACATGCTCATTCAACATTCTGAAAAAAGATGTAAAGGCAGGTACCTGATTCCATATATTTCAGTCCAACTTTCTTGATTGTTTTGAACATGCTTTGATTGTTTCAGCTTGAATTTTACTAGCAATGAGGAAACAGTAATTAGCAGAGAAGGAATGGCAATATCAACAGTCCATCTTTAGAGAGATATAGCATTTTGGGCTGCATCAAATATATTTTCATTCCTTGAAAGGAATGTTATGAAATTCTTTGCAAATAGTTTCCCATTTAGTCACTAACAAGAGAGTTGATTAACTAAGAAAAATGAATGTTCAGCTGTTTTATGTTAATCTTCACTTAGGTCATAATCAAGTTGTATTCAAAAATAATCACTCTTTTATCAGTTCAATATTTTTCTAATAAGATAATACGGTTTATGATGGCTGGTCTTTATGAGATATGCATAGTTTCATCTCTTTTAATTTTACTAGGTTTCTATTTTTTCCACCACAAGTTTTTTTTTGCTCATTTTTGCATCAATGAGCTTAAAATAAAATAAAGCAAAAAAAAAAAAGTATACATTTAAAAGTTCTGAAGACTATTAGCTTGGGAAATGTCATTATATAATTATCAACATCTTTTACTGATGTTTATATGCTATTTCAGTTGTTCTCAACTCTGAAAACATATCTGTAAATCAAGTTAAAATAATAAGAGTGATTATGATAATAAATTTTTTAGAAACCCAATGATATAGAATAGAATAATGCCAACTTATATCCAAACTCTGATCCATGAGGAGCTTTAAGAATGATTTTGAAATTGTGTCAGAAGCACTGAGGCACTTCTAAGTTGAAAGGATTAGATGGTAACATCACTGTTGCCCAGGGGATGCCCAGTGGGGGTGGGGTACCTTTCATGTCCTGGGGGGGAAACTGGAGTGAAGGTCGAGAGCTCATCCCACCCCACAGCAACTCTCGGGTCTCAAATGCGGGCTGGCTCACCTCCAACCCAGTGTCCTAAGCACAAGAGCCACCATGCTCTTTTTTAAGAATGATAATCAGCATCTTAAAATGCATTCAGAAGTCAACCGGTAGAAAGTATAATTCCTAAAGTAACTGTATAATATATGCAAATTGATAATGTATCCATAATTACTCACACCACTGCATTCTAGACCTTTTGTAGCTTCTTACTGGACTTCAGAGGCAGCCCCTTGTAGAACATGTTATAATAGTCCAAGATTGAATGACAATGGGAATCTCCTACTCCAGTAGGGACTGTAATTGGCATATAAGTTGAAGTCATGGGAAAGCCCTCCTAACTATAGCTATAACCTGCCATGGATTAAGCTTGAAACTGTGAATTAAGCAGGAGACCCAGATTGCAAGGTAGTCCTCAACTTACAACCACAGTTGGGACCTGAACTTCCATCGCTAAGTGATGTGGTTGTTAAGTGTGTCACGCCTGATTTTACAACCTTTTTTGCAGCAGTCATTAAGTGAATCATCAGGGTTGTTAAGCAAACCATATGGTCATTAAGTGCATCCAGCTTGCGACATTGACTTTGCTGGATGCCCCTGGGGAAGTTTGTAAATGGCAGTCATGTAGTCATAAAATGTTGCAAATACGTGCCGATTGCCAAACACCCAGATATTGATCATGCAATTGTGGGTATGCTGCAGTGGTGTAAGTGACAGGACTGGTTGTCACCTTTTCTAGCACTGTCATAACTTTGCATGGCTGTTGAATGAATGAATGAATGAATGAATGAATGAATGAATGAATGAATGAATGAATGAATGAGATAAATATGAAGATAGCCCATTCTGAGCTAATAAATTCACATCTCTCTGGAACAGGATGGCTTCTGAATCCAAAATCATTCTGTCTAGTTGCCTATGCTGGTTCCACCCATCCAAATCCTAATAGCCTGCAGACACTAGGATGCACCTCAATAACATCACCTCTCCAGCCACTATTATAAACATCATATTGGCTTGATTATATATTCTTACCTGTGTTATTGCTGATTTGCTCTAAGCGTCTCTTTATTTGTTTCATTTCTTGCTTCTCAGTAAAGAAGAGGCTCTGCTGGAGGGGGTAGCTACTCAGGTGCACTTCTGTTCAAGACCATCATTGCTTCCCTGTTCCAGCAGACACCAAAAGCCTCTATGGAGATTGGATTGAATGAGCAGAGTGAATCAGCTATGATAAGAAACTGATATAATGATACCACCTTCTAATCACGTTCCATTAGCTTTGAATGTTTGCTTAGATTTCTACACTATACACGGCACATTATTTAGAAGTCCTGATATGGGATGCATTTGTTATGGAGGAGCAGTGCTAAAAGTATTGGTGAATAAAAATTTAATGTTATCTACTGAAATCCACACATTATATACTCCTTCTATTGCATCACAGAAAACGAGAGTTTGGTTGCAAGGAGTCTGAGTACATTGATGATATAGATAGGTAATTTGAAGCCCAAATATTAAATTCAGTGTAGGTGAACTTCAATAAAATTGTAGGGTTATGTTAGCAATGTAAATTTTTTTTTAAAAAAAAAATTGATACGGAAAGAAGGGAAGTCAAGATGCTCATCATTTTTTTAATCCAGAAGTGAGTGACCACTGATCTTGCAAACATTGCTGAACTACATCTTCCAACATTCTTTCTTCTTTTTTTCTTTTTGGACCTTTCAAGTCAGTGTTGACTTCTGGTGACTGCCTGGAAAAATCCCTGACATTTTCTTGGTTAGATTTCAGAAGTGGTTTGCCATTACATCCTTCCTCGGGCTAAGAAAAGTGACA